CTGCCACCAGCCCTGAAAATGTGGATGTCTTTGCTCCCTGGCCCTCTCTCTAAAATCACTAGCTTTCCTGTTTGTCTCCATCTGTCCCCCCCCCCACACACAAAAGACCCCAAACACTAGGCTCTTACCTAATTAACCTGTCCTTCTAATAAACATTTTTTCTGCATGTTTACAGAGTTTGACCCTTCATTTCTTTTTCCTTTCCTTCATTTCTTTTTCCTTAAAGGAGTCTTCCATTTCTCTTCCTGGTTTTAGATTTATCATGTCCCAAGGATTATCCCGAGGGGAAACAGAAAACCCCCAGGAGACACCTTCCTAACTATGCATGGATCTAGAGAGACAAATTGTACTCACAGATAGTAAGCAGTAAGAAGGGGAGAGTAACCGGCATCCTCAGAACATACAAGACGTCTTCAAATGAGAACTAAAGCATCTGGAACTCCAGGCGCATAATGCTGTTCAGGAAATGATCCATCATCAGCCACAGTGGAAATATAAAAAAGGAAAGAAAAATGGTACTTCTCTTTTTCATAAAGGCAAGTGTAAATGAATGCTGATACAAGATCCCCCCCCCTCCAATCTATTTTATCTTGGGGACTGTAATGTATTCATATCCGACCGCGTGTGAGGCTAGCTCGCCACGCAGTCATGCGAAGCCTCCGAGCTTCACTCTGAGAGACAATGGTCCAAGCAGATCCTAGACAACGCCAATGATCGGAGGGCTGGGGTCCTAACTGGGACCTAGGGAACTCTCGGCCACTGTAAATACCCTATCACAGTGGGGTGTGTGTGTGATGGGTGTGGGTATCTTACGAATAAAAGCCGGCCTGCGAGCCGGGGTTTTTTGTCTTGTTCCGAACCCTAAATAAATGTATGAGCTGAAATCACTGCCTCTTGCTCAGTACATTTCAGGGACAAAGATCTTCAGTGTGAGTTCTGAAACTGTTGTGTAGTGGGTTAGCCGCATGGAAGAATTGCTGAGACACGCATTATACACTGCACACTTTACTGGTACACAACAAGCGCACCCACCAATGGCCGACCGGCCGCATATATACAGTCTGGGGAACCTCCCATTGGCCCATTCAAATCTCCCGCCAATGTTCCATTGGTTCCCCTAGTGGCAGGGTGCAGGAGCCTGGTCCCCATTGTTCTCCGGACTCAAGCTCCGCTGTATCGCAGGCGCCCAGTGGCGGTCCACGGACACAACAGAAACTGGACACAAAAATTGATGAAGAGTATTTCACAGTCAGTGAACTTTAATGTCTGTAATGTGCTTTTTTACTGATGATAAGCAGCCTGGGCAGCAGGGCTCTCGGCACTATCCCAGTGCCTGGATGCAGTAATCCAGTGGTTAAGGGGGAGCTGGCGGAAGTTGAATTCATCCAAGACGGAGGTCATGTGGCTGGGAAAGACTGAAATGCTAGGTAGAGGGTCATTCCCGAGACTCAGTGGTGGGTTGGCAGCTACTACCAGCTACTAATTATTGGAGATGAAATGGGTGTGGCTAGATCTCTGCATAGCTACCCTGGACTTCCTTGGTAGTTTCTCGTCCAAATACTAACCTGGGATGACCCCGCTTAGCTTCCAAGCTCTAACGAGATCGGGCTGGCCTGGCCTCACTAGGTGGCCTTAAACAAGCTGCAACCTGTCAGCTTCCACATTACGTCTGCGACGTAACAATACTTGTCTTTCTTTGAGGGCTATTGTGAGATGCTTCAAACACGAAAAGTGTTATATACATGCTGCTTCTGCTTCTTCTTCCTCTTCTTCTTCTTCTCCTCCTCCTCCTCCTGCTGTTGTAAAGGCTGAGTTCAACCTGGAAATAGTAATAATCAAGGCAGAGGTGCCTCAGAGTAACCAGGGTCATCCTTTACTTGCCTGGTGACGTGATGGGGCTCCTGAGGTGGAGCATGTGACTTCTGAGCTGGCCTGTAGTCAGGACCGGCCCCAGCTTATTTTGGACCCTAGGCGAGGATCCCTTCTGCCCCCCCCATGCGCCCACCATTTTTCAAAAATAAATGCATTTTAGGAAGAATGTAAAACACAAATAATCAAGAAACTCCCAGAGTACGGGGGCCGGGTGCAGCTTGGCGCCCCTAAGGGCCGGCCTGCTCTAGGAGATCGCCTAGTTCGCCTAGTGAGTGAGCCGGCCCTGCCTGTAGTCAGACTCCAGGCCTTTCGGACATTAACAGTCTCCAGATCCTGCTAAATTACAAATTTCATTCTACAGCGATATCCCAGAGCCAAGCAGAACAGAATATTTTTATCCAACAGTCCAGTTCTTTTGAAGGGGAACTGAACATGATGTGTCCTCTTTATGTCAAGACTGGACAACCGAACAAGCTTCCTTCCCTTAAGAGCTTGAAAAAAGTCCCTAATGACTCAAAGGAAGCAGCTGCTAGACTGTATGTGCATATGTGTGTGACAGAAAGAGTGATTGTGTCCCCTTTGGATTGGGGGTGGGGTGGGGAGATGGAAACGTGGTTCTTTGGAAAGACCATGGATCCTAAGGAGTTAACTGCAGAGGAGTTCAGAGGATAATTTTGAAAAAAGGTAAAAGGTAAAGGTTCCCTTGCTCGAAAGCCAGTCGAATCCGACTCTAGGGTTGTGGTGCTCATCTCCGTTTCAAAGCCGAGGAGCCAGCGCTGTCCGAAGACGTTTCCGTAGTCATGTGGCCGGCATGACTAAACGCCAAGGCGCATGGAATGCTGTTACCATCCCACCGAAGTGGTACCTATTTATCTACTTGCAATTTCTTGCTTTCGAACTGCTAGGTTGGCAGGAGCTGGAACTAGAGACGGGAGCTCACTCCGTCATGCGGCAACTCGGGTCTTGGAACTGCTGAACTACCGACCTTCCACAGCCTGCAGTTCAGCATCTTAACCACTTGAGCCACCACAGCTCCTAATTTTGAAAAGTGGGGTCTAAAAAGCCCTTCCTCCTGAAAAAGAGATAGCCCCGCTCCTCCAATTCCCCTCTGTAGTGTGAAAGGATTACTCAGTGGGGGGAGAAATGTGCTCCGGGGGCAAAGCTGCCTACCTCCAGGTGGACCCTGGAGATTTCCCTGGATTACATCTGATCTCCAGACTGCTGAAATCAATTCCCCTGGAGAAAATGGCTGCCATAAAGAGTGACCTCTGTGGCATTACACCCCTCCTGAAGTTCTTCCCCTCCCCAAACCCTGCCATTCCCAGGATCCACCCTCACACTCCCAGGAAATTCTGACCCAAGAGCTGGCAACCGTACCTGGGGATTACCCTTTCCCATTCCTATTTCCAGATTTATTTATTTATCAGATTTATACCCCGCCCTCACTGCTGGAGCAGGCCCAGGGCGGCTTACAAAAAACGTTCAGGGTATTCGAAATGAGTCAGACAAACATCCATCAAATGTCCATTATTTCTAGCCGGGGTCAGCTTTATTTTGGGATCACAGATGATAAAGGGCCGCCATACTGCATCATGTCCTGAGGAAGCCCTAAGACCCTTTTCTCCCTCAGACACATCAGGGGAATAGAATGAAGGAAGGTCCTCATTTTTCTCTTGCTAACCGTTCCCCATCTGAGAGTCATTCCCATCCTACAGAGCTTGGGGAATGGGAGAGAAAGCCATATATCCTTGTCCCTGTACTATTATCTTCACGGTAATTGGGTTGCCAGCTCTGATTTAGGAAATACCTGGAGACTCTTGGGGTGGAGCTTGAGATGGGTGGGGTTTGGGGAGGGACTTCAGTGGGGTACAGTCAGGGCCTGCTCGCTCACTAGGTGAACTAGGCGTTCGCCTAGAGCGCACCAGCCCTTAGGGGTGCCAAACTGCACCCGCCCCCCACCAAAAGCCCCCCCCGCCTAAAGACCTGCATCTCCATGGGCTACCCGCCACCTCTTTGGCTGGCTACCTTCTCCCTGCCTGCCCCCTTGGCTTCCCAGTGGAGCGCTTCTCCTCCTCCTCCTCTTCCACGGGCCGGGGACTGGCAGCTGCAGCAGGAGCAGCAGCAGCAGTAGGGCCGGGGGAGCGACTGCTTGTGAGCGCCCCGCCGGTCAGCCTCTTCTCCAGGTGCCCTGACGAGGGGCGCCAAACTGCACTTGCCCCCCGCCAACAGCCCCCCCCGCCGGCTCTGACGGGGGGCACGGGGGGCGGCAGAAGGGATCCTCGCCTAGAGTGCAAAATAAGCTGGGTACATTGTCATAGAATCCACCTTCCAAAGTGGCCATTTTCCCCAGGTGATCTGATCTCTTTTACCTGGAGGAGATCTGTCGTAATCAATACTCCCTTTAAACTGTGGAGCCTTGTGAGCAAAGATTCTACTTTGTGAGCTACTGGTATTAAAGTTGTGAGTGAGTGATTTGGCTACTGCACAAATTAGTGTGCTCTGGAGCCATCCTTCCTGAGCTAAGACAAAAATGTGTGAGCCGGAGGCTAAAAATCTGTGAGCTAGTTCACACTAACTCAGCCTAGAGAGAATACTGGTTGTAATCCCAGATCTCCAGCCATCACCTGGAAGTTGGCAACCCTAACAAAGGCACCTGTCGGGGATGCATGGAAGCATCTTGAGAGGCGGAAAGTGGAAAAGGAACAGACTCCAGCATTCTTTATGACAACTCGCTAATGTTAATTAGATAGCAAACATCTGGATTTGCTGGAGAGATTGAGCCATAAACCCCTCTCCTTCCCCTCCCTCGCAGAAAATGATTTCAGCTTGGAAACATTTAAAAAGGCACTACAAGACAAAGACGAAGGGAGACACCCAGCGGTACTTTAAAGACTGCCAGCATTTATTCCTGCATTAAAACAAAACCTGCGTCCAGTAGCAGCTTTAAGACCAGCAAAGTTTTATTGAAGGTATAAGCTTTCCTGTGCAAACTCCTTCAGATAAGTTTTCATTGTATCTGAGGGAGTGTGCGTGCTCACGAAATCTTATACCTTCGATAAAATTATGTTGGTCTTAATTTAAGGCGCCGCTGGACTCAAAATCTGTTCTGCGCCTTCAGACCAACACGGCTACCTGAATCCAGCATGAGGGTTCGTGAAGCGGGGAGCAACTATGAAACTACAGTTCCCAGAATTCAGTGGGCTTGCCGGAACCATTCCAAAATGGCCGTCTTTAGCAGTAAGTACAGTAACAGTTGGGGTGCGTTTTGCTTGGGGAGCGGGAGAACAGTTATTTGTGCCTGTGGCAGGGAACGTAGTGCGTTTTTTACCTCTTGCAAAAGGCAGCAAGGACTATGATTACGGGTGTAACAGTAACTTGTTTCTAGAAGGGTGGGAAGAAATCCAAGAGGGTAACATCGGAGGATGACCTTTGGTCAGTGGAAAAGGGATGCTGGAATGTGACTGTGAGAGAGCGGAGAAGATGTATGGCTGGAATGTGACTGTGAGAGAGCGGAGATGTACGATCGTTGAGTTTTATGTTCGGTGAACTTCCAGTCCCGATCATTCAGGCCTCTGGATACTGTTCCCCAAGAACATCAGCTTTGTTTCCACGAGGTCCCATGCCACGTGATTTTTTGACTTTGTGGTTTAGAAAACCTTTCTGAGGTGTGAATTGATGCTCCTGTTTTGTTCATCAACTCAGTGAGATTTCTGTCTCTGATACTATTATGCCCATTGTACAGATATGAAAAGTGGGGGTGTGGGCAAACATTGATTTTGCTTGAGGTGGTGGTCCAGAGAATCACAATGTCTTGAGCATCTAGGGACCCTGGTTCCTAGCACCCGATCATGGCACATTAACTATGAAATGCAATGAGTTACCCCCGCCCCCACTCCGCCATCTAGTCAAGCCTCAACAGATTATCCTCATAAAGCAATGTTATGGTGCTTCACTGGAAGAGTGAAGGTGCTTTCAGAGTAGGTTGCCCCAGATGATTCTAAGTAGGAGAGCCAACACTTTCTGTAAGGGAAGATCAGAGTAAAACCTGCTTAATTGGGGTCTTTGAAACTTCCTCTTTCCTGGGTTTCTGTAGCTCCCCACCTGCTGCTGCTGTTCTAATGCATTAGACTCAAGTCCTTTGAAACAGAACCAGCAATTTAAAACCATTCTGTTAATTATGCATGTTTCTGGTTGCTTCTACAGAAGTTGGTGCATATCTTAAAAATGCCTGGGCCAAGGAACCTGTTATTGTGGCCTCTTTTGCCATTGGCATTGTAGGTGAGTGTGTGTGTGTGGCTTTTCCGTTAATCGCAGAAACCCTTACTGAACACCCCCGTCCTTACAGCACATGCTCAATGCTTAGAAGACATAACTTCTAGATAAAACCTCCAAGTTCAGTGGCAGTGAACCTCAGAATGCTAGTTGCTGAGAGGCAACAGTGGGGGAGGGCTATTGTGCTGTTGGCAGGTTTCCTGGGGAGCATCTGTTTGCCTGTAGGAAGCTGATCCAGATGGATCTTTGGTCTGATACAGCAGGGCTCTTTTCGTTTTGCTTACCGTGTGATATGTTCTCCATGCCTTGTTGGCCCACATCCTTATTCTCCCTTTCCCTATTTCAGCTGTGATAGCGCCCTGGGTCAGCCCCTACACTAAGTACAGCGTTATGATCAACGAAGCTATGCCATACACATACCCAGGTACAACCACCAGTCTGTAATACCCGCTCTTTTCTGGGGCAGTTTCTGATTTTGTGGGGGGAAACGAAGCTACGTGAGATTTTGACATTGGTCTTTGCTGTGGGGGAACTATATCCATAACTGAATGACTTTTGGGTGGGGAGGAAGGCATTTGAAGGACAAAGTCAACAAGTTCCAGGTGGTCAGCCGTCTTGGTCTGAAGCAGTAGAACAAATTTAGAGTCCAGTGGCACCTTTAAGACCAACAAAAGTTTATTCAGGGTATGAGCTTTCATGTGCTAGGTATACATTGGAACGGAAGTTAAGAGTTCAAACTTATAGACAGGCTGAACAGCAAATTTACATGTAACATGATGGAGATGTTTTAAGTTATGCAAAAACAAGACTAAATCACAAGCTAAGGTTGTAAGGTCAACAGTTGTTTTGAATTAAGGGGGGAAAGGACACCAAAGTAATAGATATGTCAAAATAGGGAATAATTGTGTAAAGGCATCTTTTCTAATTCTTCCAGGGCTCATTTTACATTGCCTTACACCACCACACAGATAGTTCAAGGAATCTCCCACAGGTCTGTGGAATTACTGGATCAGTTGCCCAGGTTTATTATTTTTCTAGGGGTTTTGTTGTTGTTGAAAAATAAATAAATAGCTCTCTTGAAAATCCCTACATATTTTGTAGGTGGAATATAAATATTTTAAGCAGTCTGGGGGTTTTTTGCCATCAATGAGCAAAAAAAAGCTCTAAAGACAGATGCCTGTGTAATGTTTCCCAGCTGCTTGAAAATAGGTGCACTCACATCTTCATTTTCTGTGAGTGGTTGGAGATGGTCACATGAATGGCAAATCTGCTGAGTATGCCTCAGAAATATACACTGCAGCTCTTTTATTTAAAATGTTTCCAGTTCATTTTCCCCTGAAAGAACTCAAAACTGCCCAAGTCTTATTAAAAACTGGTTCCAGAGAACCTTGGGAAAAAAATAAGATAAACTCAAAGAGCGAGACAAAAACAAATCCCTGAGGTTCTTATCTGTTGTGTTAAAATATCCCCCTGGAAACGTACCAATTCACAGTGTTTCTGGAAAACTTCCAGTGTGTGTGTGTGTGGGGAGCTCTTAACAATTTCTGGAAGGCCAGTCCATATAGTTCGAGAACCACTATCATGAAAGCCAGGGCAGTGGTCAATTTCACCTGCTCACATGAGGGACTTACTTCGCTGACTGGGGTTACCAGGCTCTTCCCAGCATAATAAGCTCTTGTGTACCATTGTGCCTGATTCCCATTCCCCTCCCCCTTTCTTCACAGTGCCCGTTCGGGATAATGGCAACATGCCCGATATTCCCTCCCACCCTTGTGACAAGGAAGGCCCAAGCCTCGAGTGGCTGAAGAACTTCTGAGACCTCGCAAAAGACATACTGAGCTACAACTGAAGGATCCACCAATCCAGCTGGCACCACATCACTATCTGCTGTTTTCTTGTAGATGTGTACCATTTCCAGAGTGTAATAAAACTGCTGTTAACTTAAAAGACAGGCTTTCTGGTGTATTTTTAGGAAGCTTCTCTAGGATGGAAGAGACTTTTTGAACTCCCCAGAACATGATTGGAATTGTGGTTCAGGTTCCATAGCTTCCTACCTCGAGGGATGCTTGGGAATTATACTTTTGCTGAGAAGGTTAAGAAGTCTCCTGTAATACCTGCCGTAGCTGAACTTCTTTGGGCAAATCAGTAGCGGTATGTGCCTTCAATATTTTCTGTTGGTACCCAATGCTCACATAGCATCCCTCATTCAGGGCTGCATTTTGCAGGGTGTAACGATTCCATGTTTTTTTGTGTGTGTGTCTCTTTAAAAGTTTGGTTGCATGGCTGTGGTAGATAGAGTGGTTGAGAGATGCAAGTGTGGTATGATTGGTGGTTGACAGAGAGGGGGAGGGGTTTTGGAAGTGAATCTGTTTGGATGAGTATGTGAGTCAGTCAGGAGTTTCAGTTACAAGTTGACAGTTGATGTACACAGGCAGTTCTGTGTTGAAGCAGTTAGAAGCTGACAGCTGCGGTTGTTCAGTGAGAAAGAGAAAGAGAGCTGAAAGCTGAGTGTATAGGAAAAAGTAAAGTTTAAGTGAAGAAAAGTTAAAGGAAAGTCTGAGTGTCATAACAAACTCGAGTGAAACAGTGAACATATATGGCATTGAGATAAACCACCTCTGTTTCCAGTCACTTTTAAAACAGTATCCGGGAGCCATGGGTAGGTTACCTCAAATATTAGACCTCAGTTGTCTCTCACCTCCCAGTCATAGAAGACTAAGTGAGGAGACTTAGCACCTCTGTGGGTGGTTCAATTATCTCCCCACCCCACTCTGCCAGCATTTAAGACTCAGAAATGTTAAGTACTAAATAACCATTTCTTCCTCTTACCCAATATTAAGTTGTACATCAGAAGCAGAATCCATTCACATTTTAATACATACTGGCTTGAATAATTCTATTATACATTGACTGTCGAGTTCTATCATTTCACAAAATGTAGTGCAGTTCACTTTGTTAGCCTAGACTTTCCCTAAGCAACTCTGGCTCAGTTCTGATCAGGTAAAAGTTTCATGGTTCATTTTTTTCTGTCCCTTAAAAAATGAACAGGCGCACACTTAGATCTTCACGGAACAACAGAGTAGTCTGTTAACCTAGGAAAAGGCGACTGAAGCGCAGGTATATAAAATCTCCGCTTGGGGTTTGGCAAGGGGCCATTGACAGGTCCAGCTTCAGTCAAAATCAGAACAGGCTCCAGGGCTAGAGAACTTGGGATAATGAAGTAACTTGTCCTGGGGACTAGACTGCTGCCAAGTAGCTGCTAAGACATCTTCTTGCTCACAGTGGAAATCCTCTTCAGTCTTTATCTGCAGTAAAAAACCAAAACACTGTTATCTGAAACATTCCCAGCCCAAAGACAGAGCTCTGTGCATCATCTCCAAACTCGAGCTGGCAGCACTAGGTGGGTACCATATTGGGGAATGGTGATCAGAAGAGACACGGGTGTTATGTCAGACCTATGTGGCTCCCGAGCCACTGAGTATCACAGGGCTAGACATTTGCTTTAGAGATTAAAAACCAGGATTTGCACTGTGTGCAGCTGATGTCTATACTACACAGAAAACAAACTCTGACTGGCTGCCGTGACATTAGGAAACACTCCTGAAACATCACTAAGGAAACTAGGACCATATGTCAAGATTAGCCGTGAAAGCTGATGTGTTCTCCAATACCTGAACTGGGAATTCTTCCATGGGAAGCAAGGCTGGTGTTGCTCGCCGCAACCTTGCTTCCTTTTCCTCTCGCACGTGGCGCCGGCGCTTCTTACTCGTTGGCCCCTCGGTAGGTGAGGGGCTCTCAGCATCTTGGGCAGTCAAAGACCCTGGAAGGCGCTTGGGGGTCTCTTTCTCAGGAGGTTCATTTTCTGTGTTGCCTGGTGTTGAGGCGTCCATGCTGTGGCTTCCTTCATCCTAAAAAGAGAACAGAATTGACCTAGAATTCTCAGTTCTCACTCTCCTTTTCACCAATAACAAGCCACAGTGAAGGGAATTTGCTTTTCCCCCTACAAATACAGGGTCCAGCTATGGGAGGGGCAGTCAAGTAAACCAGGGAAGTTCCCCATAGGTAGATGTGGGTTCAGAGCAACTGGCTTGTGTTGAAAGTTAGGGGTAGGAAGCAGTTATAAAGGACTACAAGGGATACAGATGGGAGGAAGGCAGAGCCTACAGGAAGGATGGTCAGTCTGGGAGGGCCATGAGAAGATTACTTGGCCAGTAATGACACCTGAGTTTTCATAGTGGGCAGCAGTTCTAAAGAACATAAGAGAAGCCAATGTTGGATCAGGCCAATGGCCCATCCAGTCCAACACGCTGTCACACAGTGGCCAAAAATACCAGATGCCACCAAGAGGTCGATCAGTGAAACCAGGACACTAGAAGCCCTCCCACTGTTGCCGCCCCCCAAGCACCAAGAATACAGTGCATCATTTGCCCCAGACTGAGAGTTCCTATCTATACCTTGTGGCCAATAGCCACTGATGGACCTCTGCTCAATATGTTTATCTAATTCCCTCTTGAAGCTGTCCATGCTTGTAGCCACCACCACCTCCTGTGGCAGTGAATTCCATGTGTTAACCACTCTTTGGGTGAAAAAGTACTTCCTTTTATCTGTTCTAACTCGACTGCTCAGCAATTCCATTGAGTGCCCACGAGTTCTTGTATTGTGAGAAAGGGAGAAAAGTACTTCTTTCTCTACCTGCTGTATCCCATGCATAATCTTGTAAACCTCGATCATGTCACCCCTCAGTCATTGTTTCACCAAGCTAAAGAGCCCCAAGTGCTTTAACTTTTCTTCATAGGGAAAGTGTTCCAACCCTTTTATCATTCTAGTTGCCCTTTTCTGCACTTTTCCCAATGCTATAATATCCTTTTTGAGGTGCAGTGACCAGAACTGTACACAGTATTCCAAATAAGGTAGCACCAATTTATACAGAGGCATTATGATACTGACTGTCAGTTCCCTTCCTAATAATCCCCAGCATAGTGCTGGCCTTTTTTATTGCAGTCGCACACTGTCTCGACATTTTCAGTGAGTTATCTACTGTGACTCCAAGATCTCTCTCTTGGTCAGTCTCTACCAGTTTGGACCCCATCAACGTATACTTATAGTTAGGATTTTTGGCTCCAATGTGCATCACTTTGCACTTGGCCACACTGAACCCCATTTGCCATGTTGACGCCCACTCACCCATCCTCGACAGATCCCTTTGGAGTGCCTCACAATCCTCCCTGGTTCTCACCACCCTGAACAATTTCGTGTTCAAGAACTGGCAGAGGATTTGTTGTCAAGTGTCTGT